AGAGACAGATAGATAGATAGACAGATACATAGATTTGGGCTTAGGGCTTTGAGTTTCGAACGTATCGGCCTCAGTTTAGGGTTTCGGGTTTCGGGTCTCCTTCTCGAAACGTGCAGTTGCCTTTCCCTCCCCGCCGAAGGCCGCGACGGTACGGATGGCCATGAAGGACTCCTCTGCAACCGTGGAGGCCTGGGCGAAGTCCCTCTGCTGGTCGATCATCTGCTGCGCAATCTCCTTGCCCAGGAGAGGGCCGAAGAACGGCTTAGGGCTTAGGGATGCTTAGGGTTTAGGGGCTTGGGGTTAAGGGTTTAGGGGTTAGGTCTCCTTGCCCAGGAGATGGCCGAAGAACAGCAGTATCGGGATCGTTCCACAGACCACCAGCGCAAGCTGCCAGCCTGTGATCATGGCAAAGACCAAGCCGCCCATGAACTGCGCGAAGCTAGCGATGAGAAAGCCAAGCGTTTTCGACATGAAGAAGTGCACATTGGTAATGTCTGCCTCCAGCTTGGCTGCGACTCCTGCCGGCTCATGCTCATCATACCAGCTGACATCCAAGGAGAGAAGGACTCCCACGAAGCTGACATGCCAACGCTTGGACTGCTTAGCAGCTGCCCAGGCGAGGCAACTTTGCCACAGGAAGCCAAACAGAAACTGAATGAGCGCAATCGCTCCAATTTTGATGAGGATGGGACCCATCCTCTTCATCACATTGGCAGGATCACGGGCTTGCAGAGCGTCGACAGCATCGGCTATGAACCAGGCAATCGCTGGGGTCGATGCTCCCTGGGCCAAAGCGAAGACGAGGCCAAAGTTCAACACGACCTTCTCGCAGTACTTCAAGTGCGTGGTCACAACTGCGATGTCGTTCTCCGAGGGCTGCAGCTCTTGTTTGCAGAGCTGCCCTTTCTCGATGTCCTGCAGGTCGCGAACGGGATGCTGTCCCAGGAGGACAGGCAGGGCATCGTTCTCAGACATGGCCGAAAAGATCAGGAACAAGGGAAATCTGGTATTCTCGCATAAGGCTATCTGAAAACAAGAGGCTGGCAGACATCCATGTCAGGTGTGGCAGGTACGCTTAACAGCTTCCCATCCCACCCGTGGCAAACCCGCTTAGTGTCAGCAGTAGGTGGATATGCCACAGCGTGGCATCTGTGACTACAATGATAACCGGAAGCTTGGAAGATCTTGGAAGTTGCGCTGCAGCTGAGTGGCAGAGTCCCGAACGAACTGCCTTGGATCTTCGGGCTGAAGATAGAGGTTCCCACATGGTCAAAGCTCAATGGAATCTTGTGCCCTGTGATTGCAGCAGTCGGGTTCAAGCGGAGGGAAGGACGGCCTACTCAAAGAAGCCCTCGGCTCTGCCAAGAGGCTGCGCCAGCAGCGGGATCTTCCAGCGGTCATGGACTGCCTCCATGGGGGCTGCAAAGCTCTGTGCGGGTCCACAGCCGGGTTGCGAGGACAGGGGCTCCTTACTTCTAGTCTCGCCGGGAGCCCTGATGCTCGCCGTGATAAAACCTCGTTCAAACCTTTGCTTCGCGATGGGAACCGGAATAAAGGGCGGCTCGGTGAGAAAAACTTGCCACCAATACCTTGCTTGGGGTCCTGATACCGAGGTCTCCACTACTGAAGATCTGTAAACCTATACTGGGCCTGTCCCCCGCCCACATCCTGAAACGGCCCCACCATTGAAGATCTATACTGGGTTCCCATCTTCTGAAATTGCGCTACCATTGAAGACCCCTAAACCCTGAAACCCTGCTGCTGGCTTCCTAAACCCCTGAAGCCCTTTTGCATCCAGGACTCTTGCAAGCCCTGAAGCCCTAAACCCTGAAACCTAAACCCTAAACCCTATAAACCCTAAACCCTAAACCCTAACCCTAAACCCTAAACCCCTACCATACAAACTCCGAAGCCCGGCCCAAGCCTCGCGGAGCTCCTGGAGCGGAGCCGTGGAGGGGAAGGTCAAACGCAGCCTGGGATCGGTTTGTGGGGTTTTAGGGGTTTGGGGTTTTAAGGGTTTTAGGTTTGAGGTTTTAGGGGTTTTAGGGGTTTTTGGGGTCTTAGGGCTTTTTGGGGTCTTGGGGTTCTTCGGGCTCGTGGGGCTCTTGGGGTTTAGCATGGTTCGGGGGCAGGTTCTGGGCGACGAGATGCTACGAGACTGCAGCGGCCGAATGCGCCCATGGCACTTCAGGATGGCTTCAGGCCATCGAGTTGAAAGGCTGGGGGTATCGCCTACTTGGAGGATCACGGGGTATGGTTATAAGTCCCCTAATTGGGGTTATAGGTATAGTTACCTTAGTTATAACCCTACTTATTAAGTCCCATGATCCTGTAAGTAGAGAGCGTTTTCGAAAGGACCCGAGGTGCGTAGTGACTCCAACAGCACATCAACTTAGCCCAGTACTACCATATGGGTAGTTCTCCAAATTAGGGTCCCTTTTGTCACCCAAAAAGTACGGGACCAAAAAAGTACGGCACCTTTATAAAAGAACCCTAAAAAAGAGACTTTCATATAGAGAACTAGCCACATTCATTAGATTAGTTCGCGTGAATGCAGGCGGCTCCTGGCCGGCAAGGCCCCGAAGGACCAGGTTCACCTGCCAGGATCGTCTAAGCCGATACCCCTAGGCCCTAAAGTAGTTCCTTTTTGGGGTTCATATTTAGAATCCTATAAGCTCATCCCAAAGAGGAACTACTATGGGGCCTATGGGTACACACAAGCAAGGACGGAACACCATTTAGGCGGGTGTGTGCGCAGTGCGAGCGCGGCGGCGCGCGCTTCTGTGAAAGAAGGGAGGCGTACCCAGGAACCTCCCAAACTCTCAGATAAGGTTTCAGCGTTTAGGGCTCAACGCCCCAACCCTGTGGGCTTCTTTTCTCGAAAGTTCCGCACAAACTGGACAGAATTCAGCATCCCACAACTGAAATGGATTGGGTCCCTCGCGGCCTGCGCCGCCCGACAGAAACAAAACACATAGGCCCCTCGCCGTGAGTTTGGAGGCCTTGGCCCTTGTTCTCACGGGCTGAGACCCGTAGTGTGACCTCACCGTCAAGGCTTATCGAGTTTAGGGCATGGGGTTCTTGTCTTGAGTCTAAGGCTTAGGCGGCTGAGGGTTGGCGAGGGTTAGGGGTGTGTTTCAGGGACGCGTGCTCACGCGCAAAACGTCCAGAGCCGCTCGCTCGCGTCAATGCTCGTAAACCCAAGGGCTTCCGGCTTCTTCAATTGATTATCCATACTTAAAGGATCATCCGACTTAGTAACTATGGTTATAAGTCCCCTAATTGGGGTTCTAAGTATAGTTAACATAGATATAACCCTACTTACTAAGTCCCATGATCGTTTAAGTAGCAGGCCTTCCTGAAGTCGCAGGACTACAGAGCCAGTCGCCTCCTGCCCTTTCTCAGTTTTTGCACGGCATTGCTTGAAGGTCCGGTTCTGCCTCAAAACGCCAAGACAAAGTTCGTGTTGCGCCTGATGCTTTCAGGTTCCTCGTGCTTGTGGTGAAGGGCACACAAATTTTTCCATGACGCTGATCATTATCCATCAAATTGAAATATCTTGGAATGCAGGTGCTTGAACCGCTGGCGCGCCTTATTCAAGCGTCTGCCCGCGACTCAATTCAAGCAGTGCTCAAATCGGGGCCAGTCCCTCGACGTCAACGACCCCTCACTTAGTTTAGGATTGGTAGCGCCTAGAGTTTAATGCGGCTTACGGCCTTCGGATCAGCAATCGGTCGCAATCGCTTCGGGCCTCACCACTGAGGCGCGCAAAGGCCCAGGAGCCCTGGCCAGAGATAACTTGTAATTTCATCAAGCCATATTATACCATACATTAATTATAAAGCATTATGTTATTTGGTACTATATTGCTACACCATACTATATTCTATTTCTATACTATACTATACTACGTAAGTTATATTATGTGATGGTATGTTCGGGTTGCAGCACGGGCGACAGATGTCTGTGTGTGTGTGTGTGTCAGGGTCACTCCAAGTGGCGCCTGTTCCGCACGGAGGCTTTTTCCGTCGAGGCCCAGGCGTCCGCGGCGAAAGCTGCAGCAACCCATGGCTCGAATTAACGGGAGCCCACTCGCCAAGCTGTAGCAAAAGCAGATTTCGGTTGGCACTGGGCCACAAGTCGAGGGCTGAGGGTTACCTGGGGCTCATGGGGCTAAGGACCAAGGGTCCTATATCTCTCCTAAGGTGAAGGAGTGCAATGTGATAGACACTTCCGGGCACTGACACTGCATAGACAGGAGTACTGTCACGAGCAAGGACGACGGACTCACACATCATGAACCAGCATGCTGGGGGCGGATCATGGCGAGGAGCTACGAAGTGGCACACAGCAGAAAGCAAGAGTAGGAATGCAAATGCAGGCACCGAAAGCAAACGATAAAGTGACTTGCAAGCAAACGAAACAATGATGCAAAAAAGAAAACGTGTTCCAAAAGGAGCACGGAAGGATGTCCAAGGAATAACAAATCCCATTCAAGAAGCAGGGCATGCCGGAAGGCAAGGAAGGAATGATGAATTGAACCATACGTAATTTTTCAAGAACGACAACCATGAGCCTAAACTCTTCTAGTAGATACCCCAAAGCGAACACCTGAGTCGCAGAAGCAAAGCCGGCTTGCAGCCAGGGCATAAGTCATAAGTTCGACAGTGCAGCTGTCCTAGGCACCTCTTTTAAGATCTATATTAACCTTTGTCATGAACGTCATTGGTGTCGCGAGTGTGTTCTGGATGTTGGGGTACTGGAAGAGCGATCGAGGGACACTGTGCTATCACAGGCAAGCATAACTGGCTTAGCCCCCACTGGCATCTTGCGTCGAGCCTGGCGGCTCACCTGATCGGTAGCCTCGCTAGCATATGGAAGACGGCCTCAAAGCAGCTATATACAGCCCTTACTAATTGGAAACCGGCTTTAGGGTACGTTCTTATCCTATTAGTACAATCAGGGACCCCAAAATAAGACTTGATTAAAGGTTGGTTATAATCTAACTACAATAAGGGACCCCAAAATAGTAACAAATAGTAACAATCTCGGCCCCTATATCACCCCGAGCCGATCCACTCGTGGCTGAGCTGGCGGCGATGCCCTGGGACTTCTTGAACTCCTCTTGCGGACCGGCTTCGGGGTTTAGGAGGGCTTTGGGTTTAGGCCAAACACTTCCTGAAGATTTCACAGTGGCTCTAAAACAGCCAGTTCCAATACGAGCCTCGACCAAGAAGGTGAGAATTGTGTGGTCGAAATCCTCTCCTGCACATGTCCGGTTTGCTCTGCAGCGGCTTCTGATGCACTTCGAGGCTGCATGTCACATGGCCCAGGCGAAGCCTCCCAAGGATGTGTCCCCGTTGGTCGCCTTCACCTGTCGAAGAGATGCCGTGCCAGCAGATGGTCCGTGGAAAAGCAAGCGAGCAGGCACCAGGCAAGTGCTGACACACTGCCGCGCACAGCAGTCAAACTTCAATCCCTTGAGTTCCAGTTCCTCTGTCCTCGTCACGCAGTTTGAAACCACCGCCGTTCCGGTCGCTGGCTGTGGCACGGCCTATTTCCCGCTTGGACTTCTATCCGCCCAGCACCAGTGTGAAGGAGGAAGTGCTTGAAAAATCCTGAAATCGCCCAACCCTGAGTGCATCTTTTTGCTCACTCCAGCCGTCTCGGAACCCTCACTTCGCGTCTGATCTCGACCCCTGGCAGCAACGGGTCTGGGCACAAAGCAGAAAAAGAAAAACTCCTGTACTCTTACTAGTAATATGATTGCTTGTGACTGTGATATTTGTGATTGTTGTTATCATTGTCATGATTATTAGTGTTCTTATTGTTAGTAATATTATTGCTACTACTACTACTAGTACTA